GGGGGGGGTCAAGGGGAGGATTTGGGGCTCAACGTGTTGGGGGGCCACCATCCAGGACCTGCTGAACCTTCTCCACCCTTCCTGGCTGCACGTGGGGTGGAAGGGGGGGCACCCAGGGGGTCTCCCCTCTGCTGGGACCCCATGGAAAGGGAATGGGGATAGGTTTTGGGGGTCAGTTCCTGGGAGTGGAGGGTCTGTGGGGCCACGGGGAGAGGTTTGGGGTGACCATGAAGGTCCCTCCATGGATGGGAGGCAACCTGGGTCCCCAGTGGGAGTGGAGGGTCTGTGGGGCCACGGGGACAGTTTTGGGGTGACCACGAAGGTCCCTCGTGGATGGGAGGCAACCTGGGTCCCCAGCAGGAGAGAAGGGGGGATTCTGCCCCACTCTGGGGGGGTGTCCCCCATCTCTGGGGGCATCAGGAGGACATGGAGATGTTGGAGTGGGGCTGGAGGAAGCCCCTGAGATGCTGGAGCCCCTCTGCTGGGAGGGGGGGCTGAGAGAGTTGGGGGGGGGGGTTCAGCCTGGAGAAGAGAAGGCTCCGGGGAGACCTTGGAGCCCCTTCCAGTCCCTCAAGGGGCTCCAGGAGAGATGGGGAGGGAGCAGGGATGAGGGAGGGGAGCTCTAGGATGAGGGGGAAGTGTTTTAAGGTAAAAAGTGGAGATTTAGGGAGAAATTGTTGACTCTGAGGGTGGGGAGAGCCTGGCCCAGGTTGCCCAGAGAAGCTGTGGCTGCCCCATCCCTGGAGGGGTTCAAGGCCAAGGTTGGACAGGGCTTGGAGCGACCTGCTCTGGTGGGAGGTGTCCAGGGGATGGAGCTCAATGGTCTTGAAGGTCCAGGTTGCCCAGAGGAGCTTTGGGGTTGCCCAGAGAACCATCAAGAGGTTCAAGGCCAAGGTTGGAGGGGACTTGGAGTGACCTGCTCTGGTGGGAGGTGTCCAGGGGATGGAGCTCAATGGTCTTGAAGGTCCCTTCCCACCCAAACCCTTCCATGATTCCGTGCGCAGGGCCATCTCCACCCAGCCCAGGTGGCTCCAAGCCACCTGAAGAGGTTCATGGCCAAGGTTGGAGGGGACTTGGAGTGACCTGCTCTGGTGGGAGGTGCCCGGGGGGTGGAACATGATGGTTTTTAAGGTCCTTTCCAACCCAAACCCTTGTGTGACCACATCAGAAAGACTTCCCACATCCCCCAAGGTTGGACGTGTGGTGGGGATGTCCCTGCCCAGGGCAGGAGGTGATACCAGAAGCTCATTAAGGTCCCCCCAACCCTGATTATTCCAGGTTGGAGGGGAGACACGGCCCCGAGGTGGTCGCTGTGGGGCAGAAGGTGGGGTCTGTAGGTCGGGGAAGGCATTGTTGTGGGGTGGGGGTTGTGTCAGGAGAAGGCCATTGGAGAACGATGCGGTACCATGTATACCTTGAGCCACTGCTTCTCGGTCAGCGAGTCGCTGTAATCCACCTCCTTGCGGTGGCGGGAGCCCCTCCCAAACATCTTCTCCTCCTCTTCCTCACAGGTCAACCTCTCCACCTCCGCGTCGTCCTTGATGATCCAAGATGGAAGCTCGTCCTCCTCCATCAACCGGGGCTTCCGCTTGGGGTTCCTCGCCTCCTCCCGCCGACGGTCCAGGTCCATGCGCTGGGGGAAGAGGAAAATTTGGGTTGGGGGAGGTGGTTAATTAACCGTGGGGCTGATGATGGCCAAGCTGATGGCCAAGCTGATGGCCAAGCCATGGCCAAGGGTGGCCACCACGTCCCCAAAGCCTTGGAGCTCCGGGGTGGTCCTCAGAGGGGTTTGGGGGGCACCAGGATGGGGGATGCTGCCCCACAACTGCCCGGGGAGGGGCTGGGGGGAGCAGGAGAGGGGCTGGTGGCCACGGGGGGAGGTTGGTAGCACCCCATCTTCATCCTCTTCCTCCTCCTCCTCCTCCTCTGGGGAGCTCCCATCTTCCCCTCATCCTCTTCCTCCTCCTCCAGGGAGCTTTCATCTCCCCCTCATCCTTCTCCTCTTCCTCCTCTGGGGAGTCCCCATATCCCCCTCCTCCTCATCCTCTTCCTCCTCCTCCAGGGAGCTCCCATCTCCTCCTCATCCTCTTCCTCCTCTTCCTCCAGGGAGCTCCCATCTCCTCCTCATCCTCTTCCTCCTCTTCCTCCAGGGAGCTCCCATCTCCTCCTCATCCTCCTTCTCCAGGGAGCTCCCCTTTCCCCATCAGCCTCTTCCTCCTCCTCCAGGGAGCTCCCATCTCTCCCCTCCTCCTCCTCCTCTTCTTCCTCTGGGGAGTCCCCATGTCCCCCTCCTCCTCTTCCTCCTCCTCCAGGAAGTCCCCCTCTCCTCCTCCTCCTCCTCCTCTTCCTCCAGGGCACTCCCCTCTCCTCCTCATCCTCCTCCTCCTTCTCCAGGGAGCTCCCTTCTCCCCTCCAGCCTCCTCTTCCTCTGGGGCCTCCTCTCTCTCCACCATCCTCTTCCTCAAGGAGCTCCTCTCTCCCCACCAGCCTCTTCCTCCTCATCTTCTTCCTCTTCAGAGAGCTCCCCTCCATCCTCTTCCTCCTTCAGGGAGGTCCCCTCTTCCCAACTAGCCTCCTCCTCCATGGGGAGCTCCCCTCTCCCCTCCATCATCATCCTCCTCCTCTTCCTCTTCCAGGGAGCTCCTCTCCTCCTCAGCCTCCTCCTCTCTCGGGGAAGCTCCCCTCTCCCCTCCATCATCATCCTCCTCCAGGGACCTCCTCTCCTCCTCAGCCTCCTCCTCCTCCTCTTCCTCTCCTGGGGAAGCTCCCTTCTCCCCTCCATCCTCATCCTCCTCCTCCTCTTCCTCTTCCAGGGAGCTCCCCTCTCCTGACTGAGAATTAAACCATCTCCTCCACCAGGAGCCTTTCCTACGTCTCATATGGCTCCTCATCCCATCTCCTTCCTTGGCCCGGAGCAATTTTGGGTGGAAAAAGAGCGTTTTGCTCATTGAGGTTGGGTTGGTCCCACCTCCTGGAATCTCATCCTTAACTGGGAGCATCTTGACTGGGAGCTCCAGCTCTTGCTGTTGGGTTTTACCTGTTGAACGAGTCAGGGCTTCGTTAAAGCATTTTTGGGTTGGTTTCTGTTGAGGGACACCCTTTGAGAGGCCACTCCTCATCATCCTCCTCATCATCATCATCCTCCTCCTTATCATCCTCCTCCTCATCATCATCATCCTCATCATCCTCCTCCTCCATGCTCACCATGAAAAGGTCAAACTCCTCCTCGTGCCGCGCGATCATCTGGTTGACCGTCTCGTCATCGGGGACCTCATCTTCCTCCTGGGAGGGG